GGCAATGCTAATAGTACTTGAGTGATTTTCCTAGATGATGCTCTTTCATTTAATAGACCCTATAATTGACTGAAGAGATTTGGGAAAAACACATTTTGAAGAATCACAACTCCCTAGCGTCTCAGTTTTGATTTGCAAGTCTTTTGCTCGGTAGCGTGAGAGCTCATCAAAGGCTTTTTAAGGCTCATTTGCTCTTTGTTTCTATGGATGGAAAGTTAACACATATCGCTGCGAGGCCCATTAGGTGCGGTGAAGCATAGACCTCTCAACCGGCTAATGTTTGTTCACATCAGGAAATCCCCAATGCGGTTTTTCAACAGCTTTTTCCCCCCCCTTCTCTTTTCTCGTGTCTTATGACGTTCCACACACCCTTGCACTTTATTGACTAATGCCTCCATTTTTATTCACTTTTTATGTGTGCTTGCACTTGCCTTTTATTTACATACATGTTATTTTCTATTAAACATTCTGTTTTCTCTTTTTGATTTTGAATTCTGTCATCATTGAGACAAACATTTGTGGTTGCCCATGTTGCGCTACTCAAGTGATTAATAGACCTATCATGATTTTGGAGCTAGCAGGATTGCTTAAACATAGCATTCATTATCCCATATGCCTTTATGTTATTGTCAGAAACCAAAGGAGCGGGTTTGCTTGTATTGGTGACACAGTGTGTAACAGGATCCACATCACTCCACTACGGTCTACAGTTACCTTGTCATCTGGTACAACAACCGTAGCACTTCTTTATCCAAAGCTTGTCAAATTTGATGAAATTAAGTGAATTCGCAATAACGAGTGCATGCCGACACAAAAGATGTGGAAATTACGTCATCTAATCATGTGTCTTTCTCCATCCACACTCATGCCAGAAACACTCCTCTTCCTGAAATGACTGTTGCACCGTTTTGCCAGGAACCATAATGATGAAATCACTTGCTAAACTCTTGATTTCCAACATACTCTTTAATAACTTTCGTAACAGACACCATCTTATCGTGTGGATTGTGTCTCTTACCTCTTGCTTTGCATCTACGAGCCTCTCTTGCGAGGACGGCTGTTTTTGAATGTCACAAAAGATTCTCAACTTATCCTCTCAGGTCTCACGCAGACACTTTAGTTAAGCAGGTCCCCCCTGCCCCATACGCCAGCCTCCCCTTGAGAGGTGTAATGGAGACGGCAGATGAGAGGAGAGATACGGGCGCCATTGAATACAGGCGTACTCCTGCACATTGTGCCAGGCTGTGTCTGGTGGAAGCTAACACCCTGTTGTGTTTGAGGTTCGCTCGTGGCCGACCGATGCATCAAATCAGCTTGGGGGCATTCTCACATAGTACCTTGAGAAAAGAGCCAGCGCACCTTCTCAGAATGCTATAGACCTCTTGAAACTTTAATGATACACTGCTCCTCTTTTGAAGACTGTGCTACATTCTATCTTGGCCGTTTTGCAAGGGTGAGGTGATAATACGCTCATACATAAAGCCATCCACTGCTGTCGTGTCTCTGTGGAATTAACAGCCAGTAAGGCGCTCCAATACTGCAGCTGCGTTCTTCCAGAGTGCTGTGACCTTATATAGAGATGCGAATGGAAAGAGCTCATCATCTGCACAGGTGGCTGGTTGCTGGGCTACAGGTGCAGGCTGATTTATCTCAGTGACCTAGACTACAGAGTGTATTTCTCTGTGGTGATCTTTAGACAGATCGTGAGTTTTGATCAATTTTAATGTGTAACAGTGTGTGAAATCTAGAAACGGTTTGAATTTTTCTCACACACTTGCGGTTCTCATTAATGGCTGATACTTACTCTTTCCCTGCTTGACGACACAGTCTGCCTTGTCGCTCTTATTAGACAAAGGCTAAAATTTTGACAGTTTTGACTATTTGCTTTTTTATGTATGATGTTGAAGGTCAGGTAAATCGGAAACATCTGAAAAAATATGTGGGTATCTAGTAGGTAGCGTGTTCAATTTTAAGACATTAAAGGTGCTGTATGTGTTTTTTTTTTTACTGTACTAAAGCATAAAAGTACCATGATATGTTTGCAGAGATTTAGAAAATATGCTAAGTTCAAATATTTGGTTCTCTGAAAAGCAATGCTGTTGAAATGCTGTTCCGTGTCTGAATGTCTGTTTTTGTTTTGGTCTGTGTGATCCCGCCCACAATGCCAAATTACCCAATAGTATTTCGACACCCTGGGTTGCCAGTTGGTGGAAAACACAGCGTATTGCAGCCATTGAAGGCAGCAAAGGAATCTCTGCAATAAAAACATTGCAAACGTAGACTTTACATTAGCTGATCAACTTATGCTATCCATTGTCAGTTGCACTATTTTCTGTTACATGTCCTCAAGCGCGTGAGCGTCGAGTCTGAGGAGGACGGGGCGGGGGAAACAACTCTCTCCAATATTTTGAATTTGGACTGCAGTACCCATTTCAACCGTTAGCTGTCTATATAACATACCGCATCTTTAGCCCTCTGGTGCTAAAGGTTTTGGCACTTGCTATGCGAACACACACACACACACACACACACACACAAAAGTATGGACATGATTCAAAAAGTTTAAATGGTCCTGGAAAAACTAGTCACACTTGTGTTGTTCGAAAAATGACCGCATTGGAAATGAATGGGAGATTAATTTTATATTAATTTTATAATTTTAATTTTGGAGCTAAACAATCTTACTGAAAAAAAGCAATTGTTTGAGATATCAACCTCAAATTTGGAGCACAACTTTTTTTAGATTTATGGATTTGATTTTCTCACAGTAAATCATGTTTTGGAAAACATTATTTTTGTGCAATTTTCTTAACTTTTAACAAATAAAAAAAATGTTGTTTAATTTTTTTAACTTTAAGTCTGTGCTCCAAAGCATTCAATATTTAGGACAGTTTAAGTCGGAAATTTCATTTTCATGCATGCTCAAAAATGGTTAACAAGTAATAAAGGGATCATAACTATTCTATAAAAAAAAAAAAAAAAAAAAAAACATTTTAGTTCAATATTGTACATTTATTTAATCAAAATTTTTAAAAAAGGTAATTTTTGTCCGCTACGCGAGCAGCACCGGAGGGTTAAGTTCAGGCAAATAGTTATAAAGAAACTGACGCAATTAAAAAAAAAATGTTGAAAGAATACCACTTTTTGTAATGTATATACTATATTGTTTTCATTTGCTATAGTGTAATGTCTTACAATTATCTTCATTCTGGGCCTTTCTGAGCAAATATTAATTTGGTTAATCTGCACATTTTGTAATGACATTTGTTATCGGTTTATCATATATTTGTACATGCATACACTGCCATAATTTTTTTTTTACGTTTTGTTTTTTGAGTCTCGTGCTCACCAAGTCTCAATTTATTTGATCAGAAATACAGTAAAAACACTAACTTAAATATTATAGTTTGAAAATATCCGTTTTCTATGTGATATGTGAATATATTATATAATTATATAATAAATATAATTTATTCCTGTGATCAAAGCTGTATTTTCAGCATCATTACCCCAGTCTTCAGTGTCAAATGATCCTTCAGAAATCATTCTAATATGCTGATTCTCTGCTAAAAAACATTCATAACATTCTTATTAATATCAGTGTTTAAATCTTTTCAGAATTTTTTGATGAATAGCAAGTTAAAAAGAACACACATTTGGTCAATATAATGCATCCTTGCTAAATATAAGTATTATTTTATTTCTGAAAAGAAATCTTACTGATAAACTTTCAAAAAGTAGTGTATATACAGTATATTCTACAGCTATATCCATATTCTACAGCTATACCTATAATTATAATTCTATCTATATTTACAGCTTTAGCTGTATCTATATCTAGCTTTCGTTATATCTATATTTACAGTTTTAGCTCTACAGCTATGTTTAAATCTTTATCTACAGCTATTTTTATATATATTTCTATATATGGGAGTAGTATTGTTTCAGTTCATGCAGTTTGTAGTCAATGAAGTGAATAAGAAAGAAGAAGCACCAAACATCTTATGGGACCAAGTCTTTTAACAAATTTTACCCAAAGTAACCTTTTTATTTTCAAGCAATTTTTTTAGTCAGTGAAACGAGCTGCTCTTTATGAGCACAGTTGCAGCTGTGGTTGTCTGCGAGGCAGGTGTGAGGTGGTTTCTGTTAACCTGCGGACCGCAGTGTCTTGCTGCTCCATGATGTCACATGGGACCCAAGTGTGTTCCAGCCAGGGTTGCCATAGTGGCAGAACAGACGCCCCTGTGAGAAAGAGTCCAGACTCCCTTGCCATGATAACCAGTGTCTATTTATAGACTGCACTGTTTATTGCAGTGGGAGCGTTACGGCAACAAAGGGAGGGCACCGTCTGAAGCGTCTTTCTTTGTCCAGTAAGCCTTGAACATTATTTGCTTGTTGTTCTTAACCCAGTCTAGTGATGGTAAGATAATGACCGGAGGAAGCACTGGCTGGTATTTGAACTGAACAAGAAAACATGGCGTGCTTGTGTACAGTGTTTGTGTGCACTGTAGTTGGTTGTTTAACTGACACGACACACAACACTTTCATCGCCCACCCTTTTACAATGAAGTCACACGTGGGGATTTCCTTTGCTCTGTTCTCGCTTTGCATTCCGCGTGCAACGCTCGCTTGCGGACGCGAAGGTTTAGAGGAAAATGCTTAATTGTCACATGCTTGTCCCTCATTGACGTACTTATTTCAATCTTCTGTGGCATCTGATTAGTCAGTTTGAAACAGCTCTTTTTCTCTGAAGTGCTGTGAAACATGAAATTTGGCATGACTTTTTTTTTTATTTTATTTTTTTATGTCTGATGTCATCCTGTTTTTTGTCCAAGGATTTCAATCCACAGAGCTTCATATGAAGTTCATTTCTTTATGTTTTAAGGAATAAAAACTAATTATAGGACAGATGGTGTCATTTTAAAAAGCAAACAGATATATTACATCAGCGAGTCTCAAATCAGTTGTTACAGCAGTCTGTGTGTGATTGCCATCTACAGGTGAAGCTGGTGAAGTACATCAGTAAACAGTTGGAGTGGAAGCAGAGTGTTCCAGAGAGTGAGCGACCGCTGATGCTGGACTCTTACCCACACCTCACAGACTGGCTCCACACCATCAACCTCCGGACAGAACTCATAGAGGTAGCAATATGTGTGTTTGTATTCAATGCATTTGTTTCTTAGTTCCTTTATTGCTTTGAGGAATTTTAAAGTTGACCATATTTCCCTGCTTCATGACCTATATTCGGCTAATGAACCATTTTTGGGTGTTTTGTTTTGGGTTTGGTTTTGTTTTTTTGTTGGTTTAAGGGTTTTAGTTTACAAATACAGTATAAGTGACTGTTTTTTTTTCATACTTTAAGAATGTAGAATTAATATGAATAAATAAATACATGCATGCATAAATAAATAAATAAATAATATTTTAAAGAATAATATTTTAGTATTTAAAAAGTTTTTACCTCAATTTTGCATTATCTACTAGCCATTTTATTAAACACCACATAAGGCACGTCTGTAAAGCATGGCCTCTTGTACCTAATTGCTGTTTCTGTTTATTTTATTATACAGCAATATTTAAAACATGAAAGTACAATATATCTCTTCTTTAAAAACAGGCTTCTTAAACTGTATCTACTACTTAAAGAATGTCTGTTTACAAAATGTCTGTTATTGGAGGGTTTGGACAAGGGAGGAAAGATGTTTTGCTTGCTCGCTCGCTGTGTTCTCTGTGGCGTTTCAGACCTCGGTGGATCCACACACCTGATCCCACTCCAAAGCTCAGAATGTGCAGTGTCAGCCACTGTGTTTGACTGTCCCGTCGTCGGTCTGTTTTTAGACTCCAAAAGGGGTCTCTGTCTCTGCCAACCAAACCTCCCTCCCCCCCTCGCCCCCAGACTGTCATACACAAAGCTGACCAGAACAGCACTGCATTCATGACTGCCTGGCAAATGCGTAGACTTATTTGTCTTCAATAGACAAGGAAACATACAAACAGGGAAATAAACAGCGTATGACTGAGGAACAAAACTTTAAAAATAAAAACAATTTATCCTAGTGGGGACGAGAGAGGTCACTTTGCGCCATGCCTCTGATTAGCTGACTGCTTCACTTCGGTCACTGCGGTAGGACAGCATGTTTATTATTGTCTCTTCCAGTTTCCCTCTCTCTTAGATGTCCCAAAATACTTGCCTTGTCGTTGTAAACAGTCCGTTTCTGTGTTGACCCAATGGTACCAAAATTGTGTATTGTACAAAAGTAAACTAAAATGTTGTTTAAATTTAATTAAAATGTATTGATATTAATAATTGTATTATTATATTAATAATTGTAATGATTTAAGAAAACTACAATTATATTGGCAGTCAGTAATTTACCGCACAAAACATATTGTGGTCAGCATAAACTATGTTTAATCTTTTTGCAAGAAAACACATTTAATGTAGTCTGGAAAATATTTTTATTTACTTTGAATAATAATTACAGTCACATACAGTATGTTGACTTTTATTTTATTTTATTCCTATAGTCTGAGACCCAATTTTGAGTTAAGTTGCCCTATTCACTGCCCTAACTCAATAAGTTTGTTCTTTACCGTATCACACAAGGCTGCTAGAGTGTGATTCACAGGGCAGGAATGCATGCATGTGGCAGGACACCCATAGGCAGCCTGCCCCTCTCGGAGAGGACAGCATGGAATCCAGTTGCCCCAGTGTAATTGAATGGGATAGAACTTTCTCAGGAAGAGCAGAGGAATGCTATTCCTCCTGCACTCTCAGAAAAAAATGGTACAAAAGCGGTACCCGGGATGGTACCCTTTAAAAAGCTACAAATATGTACCTCTGAAGAACTAATTTGCACTCTTTAGTTACCAAATGTGTACCTTTTGAAAGGGTACCTCCCCAGTTTTTCTGAGAGTGTGTGCCCATCAAGGTGGGACTTTGGCCAATTTGGTTGCATTTGCATGATTAGACAGTTTAGGGGTTTCATTGGAGATATTTTGCATATGTGTGGCTTGTGGTTCCTGGTGCGTCTACAGAACTGCTAGGAAACACCCTTGATATTATTACTGCTTTGGGGTATTTGTTTACATCGGAGTTACTAGAAATGGAGAACTATCGAGGGTGTCATCATACTGTGACTGATCATAATCATATATGTTGTTACATAAAAACTGGTATCATATACTTTATATCGGAGCATGTTTAGTCATACTGACGTCATGATGTCACAACCTGCTTCATCTGATATCATGCTCTATATGAAATTACTTTTGACCTACAAGTATTAGGCATTAAAGCACACAAGTATAGCATCTGTAAGCTAATGATACTAGCACTTTTTTATAACTAATGTCACTCTTCTTTTTTTAACTAATTATTTATACGGTGCTTTTTAGTGTTTGTATGAAGTCACTCAGTTCCCCTTAGGTTTTGCTTGAAATAATGCTTATGCTATATTTCTTTAAAATAAACACTACTTTGGTTTAAACATTTGTTATGTAAGGCAATAACATTAAGAATTTAAGCCAGGTGTCCAAATACATTCGGGGCATGTGTAACCATCTGATCATATCCAGGGTTATTATCATCAAGTTAAAATGTTAAAAAAACATTTTTGTTAATTGTGAATAAAGCTGAAATAGTTGAATTATTAATATAAATATTAGATGCAGCACTAAAATTAACCACTGGAAATAAATGATAAAAAAACTGACATAAAATAAAATCTAAATAGTAATATTTAAAAAAGCACAAAACAAAGTTACTAAAGAATAAAATAAAAAATATACAAATAAAAGCTAATTAAAAATATGAATAAAAACTATAATAGTAATACTAAAATAACACCGATTAACACGCATCTGTTGTGTGCGAGAGTCAATGAGCAATAACTGAGAGTTGACGTCACTACACTTTATTTTGTATATTGTGACTCATTCCTTGATGTTTCCAGCTGCCACAGTCTGATGGGATTTCCCATTGCTCAGTAACAGTAAGCGAGAGGAGCAACAACCATGATGCACCATTCAAATTTGTGTTTATATATTTTGTAGTGGTGAGTGTCTATGAGTTGCTTATGGAATATAATGCTTATATTAAATCAACCAGGGGTTAGAGCGTTTGAAATTAGGCAGTCCAAAACATGCCAACGTGTGTTATGGAGTAAGTCTAAAGGGCACAGGCAGGAGTGGTTGTCTGAGTCATATTTCTTTTTTGTGGGTCACATCCTGTGGATCCTCTACATGCCTTCCTCAAGGCAAAGATAAAGAGAAAGAGATAGAAAGAAAAAAGAGTCTGTGACAAAAGCAATCTCACCCAAACCTCTGTTTCCTGTGCTGTACCCCCTTTCTTGCTCTTCTTTGTTCCTCCAATGTGGCCTCTCTTTTGGCCCAGGATGACCACTCATGCACAAAATGTATGGTGACAGGTCAAAGACCGACTTAGGCCAGCCTAACCCTCATTAATCTCCGTTTCACACAGTCACAAAGACATCCGGCTCAGTTAATAGCATCATAAATGGTTCTTTTTGTAGAACATGTGGAATCTGTGATGTCGGCTCAGTTAGCGGTTGTGGTGATGACAATAAGAATGTTCAAAACTGCATTATTGTTGAAGTCAACTAGTCAGTGGGTTTCCTGAACAACTAGTCGGATAATCTGTTTTAAGGAAACTTTGTGTAATTAGGCTGGTTTCAAGTTCACCTGACCCCAGTCAGAAGCGTTTCTAAGGGCAAGAGAAACAGAATGGATCAGAATGCAGAGTCTTGAACATGTGAACTATTTTGAACCTGAAGTGGCATTTTAGAAATGCAAAACTATTCACACCATGGCATTTTATTTTATTGTATTTATTATTTTATCTTATTTTTTTAAAGAGAAATGTATCTTTTTATAATTAGTTTATCCACTTTTGCCTGTGGAAAACAAAATGTCAAAGCTGAAAGTCCATGGTACTCTGGCTACTTTGGTACTGTATTTGCAGTTTATTTAGCAATTTATTTGCTATGCTATTGTCATATAAAAGTTGTTAAGTAAATTTTTCATGCGCATGTTCTCCTCAGTACTTTTTTAAACTTAATTTCAAAGCTAAAATTGCATGGATGATTGCATGGGTATCAAGTTTAGTTGACAAGTTTAATTTTATGTAGTCCTATTTATATTAGAACATTTGATTGATTGATTGATTAAAAAATATACTAATTTGTCATACACACAAGTTGTTGTCGGAGGTTTTCTTCAGGACTATTTTATTTCTGGGAGAAATTGGACTTTTGATTATTAAATTATGGCACTGTGGCTCAATTGACCACTTTTACCCCATGGGAAACGATATGTCAAACCTGTCAAATTTAGTTGTATTTATTTATTTATACTACATGGGGAATAAATGATACGAATTTGTCATACACAAAAGTTGTCCAAAAGTGTTTTTGGTTGTGTTTCTTCTGGACTACCACTATACCCCCTTCCAAATAAATAAATAAATAATTTAGTTAGCTGCATAGTGCCCCTGAGCCGACTAGTTGACCACTGCAACCCATACTTAGTTGAGACAGGGGATGTTAATCTGCACACAGGAAACTGAACGGCTCAGTTGGTGACCATGTGTTTTTAGGAGGAGTGTCCAAAGCTGTGGAGAAACTTCCCAGGCATGTTCACTGGAAGGATAGAGGGGAGGGACGTTGGGGAAAGGGAGGAGGGACGGGGCGAGTAGGAGGGGAAGTTTGGGTTGGAAGGGAGCAGCTCTCACAGCGTGACTGACTTCTGAGGAGAGACTTTGATTTGGTGTTTCTGGGATATGAGATTTAGGAAAGGACAACTTCAGTGGAGAATCTCTCGTGGTATTGTATTCTTGACTGCTTCATGTTTTGGAGTCTCATTTTAAGACTGTGTTTTGTTTTTTGATGTTTGTCGGTTTCCTGCCTGCATGCAAGTGGAGTATCAAGAGCTTCTGTGGTCATAGAAAGTCTGCAAACGAAATTAGCAACGGCAGATATCTACTAACGCTATGTTTGAACACATCAGGTTTATGTCAAGAGGCTTGCAAACTCACAAGCTTGTGAGGAAGTTCCTCATTTGCTAGTTGTTTGAGATACTTATCAAGTTGAAATTCCACTGAAGGGCTTTTTGAGGAAGGCTT